CTGAAATGGCAGACAATGACATAGTTAAAATACATGTTTTTCTTTATTATCTTTTTGAACAACTTAATAAAGCTGAAGTTTCTTGTGGATGACCAGTGTAAAGCATTACACTAGTTACTTATTTGAGTTGAGGTTGCAACTATGGCTACAGACTTAAAATGGTCAGTTTTAGGAATTCATTGCTAATGACTTGTGTACTTATTCATCTACTAATAAGGATCCAGGTTATGTCCACAGGAAGGGATTTTTTTCTTTCTTTTGGGGAGTGGGGGCCAGGGCAAAGGCGGCATTATTTCATTGGAAATGAATATTTTGTTTTATTCGTAAGTGACACTGTTTCTACTGTTGTATTTTGTGAAGAGCTATCTACAATCCATGACAGCAAGACTTGAACAATGGAGAGTTAAAAGAAGGGACACTGAGGAGTGGATGAGGCACCGTCAGCTACCTGAAGATCTGCAGGATCGTGTTCGTCGGTTTGTTCAATATAAATGGTTAGCTACAAGAGGTGTAGAGGAAGAAGAAATTTTGCTTTCCTTACCCTTGGATTTAAGGCGTCAGATTCAAAGGCACCTCTGCCTGGCACTTGTTCGTCGTGTAAGTTTTTTGTCTCATTATTGTGAACACATTTCGATCCATTCGGAGCCGTGCAGTTTGTTAAGGAGCTCTCTTTGTTTTGTTGACTAAATTACTTTGTAGTGTAACTTTCTGTAGAGAGATTCTATTTTTGAGGTAGGTCCAGCTTTACTCCCTTCATTGCACCCATTTTTTTGCACCAGGCAATAAAGTAGCACCAAGGATAACGAAATCTACATAGCTGGTTTTAAGAGTCCAAGTTGTGAAAGGGGATAGCGAAAATCTTCCTTTGTACTGATTTCAATTGGATCAACCATCTGTTTTGAACTTTAAACATTTCCATATGGTTCTTCTATTTGGTAACATCTCTCTGAATTTTTCAGGTCCCCTTCTTCTCCCAGATGGATGATCAGCTTTTGGATGCAATATGCGAATGCCTTGTTTCATCATTGAACACAAAAGACACATTTATTGTTCGCGAAGGAGATCCAGTAAATGAGATGCTTTTCATAATTAGAGGTCAACTTGAGAGTTCAACAACCAATGGAGGAAGGTCAGGGTTCTTCAACTCCATTACGCTAAATCCCGGTGATTTTTGTGGTGAAGAATTGCTAACATGGGCCTTGGTGCCTAACCCAAATCTTAACCTTCCATCTTCAACTCGAACAGTGAAATGCCTTACAGAAGTTGAAGCATTTGCACTTAGAGCTGAAAAGCTCAAGTTTGTTGCAAACCAGTTCAGACGCCTCCATAGTAAGAAACTACAACATGCATTCCGGTACTACTCACACCAATGGAGGACATGGGGAGCTTGCTACATACAAGCTGCATGGAGACGCCATAGGAGGAAAATACTAGGGGAAGAATTATCAAGAGAAGAGAGCTTGTACTACAGGGGAGGGATGGACCAAGATGATGATTATGGTCGCGAATATCCAGTAGCTGGTGGTAATGCTCCGGATCAGGCAACAGAAAGCAGTACTCAGCAACTTGGAGCTACAATATTGGCATCAAGATTTGCTGCTAATACCAGAAGAGGCAAGGTGGCACGTGTGGACACTGGTGAATCCAGCTTACGCATGCCCAAACTTTTTAAACCTGACGAGCCTGATTTTTCTGATGATCCTAGTCATTGAAGCGCCAGCTCTGGTTTTGGGTTGGAGTTAGAGTTAGAGTTAGTAGGTAGGTTGCTTGTTGCCCTGTTTCTTGTTATACAAAAGAAACCATTTATTCCAACCCATGCGCCACTAAATACTAGTGCAGTGGTTAGCTACTTCACAAATGTAAACTGACCGCTAGCTTTAAACCCCATGGGCACTTTTAGTTACACCCAAATGGTTTCATGTAAATCACTGTTGCCAATGAACAGTTACAATCTGAATATTATTTGATTGATAAATCAATCCAAGAAGTTGTTATAGATGAAATTTGAATTGACTTATTCTATAGTGTTCTATTGCATATCAGACTTGAGAATCATTCTAAGACTTGTCACCACAATCTTGTGTTTTCTCATATAATTAGCTCTGCGGCCCAAGTTATGCACAGCCGCTCAGTATCAGGTTAATATCCGACCAAAACATTACGTTCAGTGAGAATAAGTTGTAATTTGGTTTTTGTTTCTAGATATGTGACAAATTCGTTAAACAGTTTGGTTAACAGGATCTATACCTTTACGATGTTTAAATTATACAAAAGTGAGTTAGATAGGTGGTTTACTTAGAGCCGCCCATCAGACATTTGTTGGGATTGGATGACACCAGCAGTTATCCTTCCCCTGCACAGAGACAGACCCAAGTCATCTCAGTGCCATTTTTGTCTCATTGAACAATAAAGAGAATAGATCGAACAATTTCCAGAGATGAACTTTAAGTAATTAACCAAATGCATCAGACCCAACTACTAATGCTTGCAATAGGTTAGATTGTCTACGTCACATACAAGAGAGAACAGAGCTCAATAGGGGAAGAAATGATTTAAACGGATCTTGGTGGATTTGACTCCAAGTATATTCTGAAACCAAAAGTTCTAGTATAGTATAATGAAAGATATATTTAAACTATTTCTAATAATTTATAGGATATATGCAAAATAATTCAAGATTTGGAATTTTTCTGGCAATAGTAATCTACATTCCATAACCATCTTAAAGATATAAGAATTACATCATACGTTGGCTTCCATCAAGCAATAATACAAAGATAAACAATCCACGGAAAATCCTCGAAATCATCATCACATCTTTATTACATAAAAACTAGAAAGAAAAGAAAAAGACAATTTTCAAGTAGACAGATTGATTTGGCAGCTAAAAAAAGGACCAACAAATCCGACCACCTAACTCGCCGGCGATTATGTCACCGACCGGAAACATCCGACGCAAGACGAGACGCGATTGCAGAATGGTACATGATGTCATGGAAATTAGAGCTCTGCATCGTCTTTCTCCTTAGCTCTTTCGCCTTATCTTCCGTGAAACCTCCCGGCTGAAACTTGGATCTGCAACGACCCGTTTCTGGATCCGATTTTAAACCCGAAATCTCCCTCACCGGCCCGGTTCTGATCGCGCTGCTGCTGGAACCGGAATCGATATAGTCCGGTTCAGAGGACCAACCAAAGAGTGGGGTCCACCAGCTGGCTGAGGATGACCCGGAAATTGGTTTTTGACGGGTCAAATCGGGGTTTACCCGATTAACAGATGATTGAACTGGAGCAGAACAAAAACAAGAAAATGAAGTTGCCATTGTTTGTCGATGCTATAGAGAGAGAATAGAAATGCTTTTGATGATTCAAGATAATGTTTTGATTGAACCGTTGAAGAAGTATGTAAAGACATGTGAAAATTAGGATAAGATTGAATACGTGGCTACACTTTATTTTATTTGCTTGGTTGGTCAAACGTTCAACTTGGCTTTCCCTTTTACACTTTTTGCCCTTTTGATGATAACGATGTTGCATCACAGATATTAGGTATTCATGTTTGGGCCAAAACTTTGGGCCAAGATTTTAGAAGGTCTTTATTGTTCAACGCTTTTGTCTTTAAAATCACAATTGTGGCCCTTCTGGCTCCTCGTGGACACGGAATACTTTGTGTACCATGCATTTAGATATTTTAAGTAGGCCAAAAAAAAGATGATTCAAGTCAAACAACGGTAAGAATGAGACACTAGAGATATTTCATTTCAAGGTATTGAAGCATAAATTAAACATATTTTAGACAAATAGGACTTTATAAGGAACTCACACTCTCCTCAGTGATCCGTGACAATGAAGGAGAAGACCAAATTTCGAGCCAGTTTCAGAGAACTACAATAATAACAACATATCTAGTAATCTCACAAAAAGTGAGGTTTGGGTAGGGGAGGCATTTTTAGCTATTTTTCGATAATACAAGTGAAGTTCGAATATCAAAAAAAAAAAAAAGGAAAACGGAAAAGGAAGTCACCTCCATGATAAAAATTCAAGTGTGGAGTAAAGAACGAGAAATATTTGAGAATTATAAAAGAATAAAAGGTAAAATTTAAAAACAAATATATAATTTTAAATAAACTATTAGTACTCTATTTAAAATGATTTTTAAAAATATTAATGTACAAACTTTCCTTTAAAAGCTTTAGTTGTTTTATAGATAAGGCCATGTGTATATATATGATCTTTTGGGCTCGTTAGGAAGGCCTGTTTTGATTCCGTCATTTTTTTGGTGCAAAAGATACTTCAGGGCCTGTGGGCTTCATTCACATTGTAGTGGAAACATTTTCTATCCCATTTAGGCAGTTCAAAATCGAATTGACATCGATAATTCGAATAGAAAAAAAGTTATTATTTTATTAGTAATAGGTCATAAATTTAACGATTTTGATTTTTTTTTTGTTATTGGGTTATCGGTTCTTAATGTTTTTTCTTAATAGGTTAACCATATCCCTATAGTAAATTCAATAATTATATTTATACTATTTTGTATATAAAGCCCTTGACTTAGAATTTAGTTTCTTACTTTTATTGTTGGATGTTTCAAACTCTTGGTTATTTAACAATGTAAAAATATTTACTTTTGAGCAAAATGCAATTTGCAAACTCATGTGCATGGTTCATTTGGTTTGCCACCTTATTTCTAAGTGATTTTCAAAGATTTTTTTTGTGTGTGTCAAATTTTAACTATTAAACCAATATGTCAATATCTTAGCATGTCGACAAATCAATAATTAATGAGTCAAACCGATAAACTTCAAAGTCGAAACGAACCGACTGATATGCAAGCCCTGATCCAATTAATGAAGGGAGAACTTCTGTACATGTAAGGTTGTGAATGCATATAGCTTTCAACAAGAACAGCGAAAATGAATGCATCGTAAACGTATTATATTCCCGTTCAGTTAAAACCCCTCAAAAAAGGAATAGAGAAGAGTATGTGGGCATTTGATGTCTATCTCAGAACTATGCTAAAAGCAATACAAATTTTTCAATACAAGTTTACACAAATTGTGTTGTTTTAGTCATTGGTATATCAATATTAACAGAAGGTCCACCAATATTTATTTCTGAAGAATTTGAGAATTTGCCTTTCTTGGACCAAAGCCAAATCTTTGAAACAGAAAAGCTCTCACCTTTAGTCCTAGCACTGATCTTTTTTCCTTCTGCATTAGCCCCAAAAATAGTGTTCTCACACTTGGCTTTTAGAATCTTCACATTAGGCAACGCGATTTGTAACTCCGAATCACCAACAACATATTGAAATGAACCCATGGAGAAACATCTCCTTGCATCTAAATTACAGCTGATGATTTCCCCTTGAGTACTTTTGTCTTCATGGTTTTCGCCCCCTTCATTTAGACTCTTCAATTTACCTAATCGAACAGAAAATACTCTCATTTCTCCAACATTGTCCGGCTTTTCATCATTTGCAATTCCATCTTCCAAATGGAAACTCCATTGTTCTCTTGATTCGATTGAGCCCAATAAGGGATTTCCCATAGAAACTGTGGAACTAATAATGCCTCTACATAGAGGACAAGTTGAGTTTGACAGTAACCATGTGTCTATACAATGAATATGAAAAGCATGGCTACAAAAAGGGAGCAATCTGAGCTTATCATGTTCTGAAAATTCACATAAACAAACAGCACAATCAAATGGCTCCTTTAGGCCTTTAATATCTTTATAGAGAAACAGAGGCAGAGTATCAATGACAGCTTGGTCTAAACCAGAATCATGCTGACGAAATAGCTGTTGAAGTTGCCTTTGAATAACTTGAGAACCAGATGATTCAGGGAATCTATTGGATTGAGAAATTGACGAAAAAGATGAAATCTTTAAACAACACCTACGAAGAAGATGAAGAAGACCAAACACAAAGAACACAATAGCAATAATTACAATTGCCCATAGGACAATTGGACTGATTCTGCTCATGGATAACAATTTTATATTCTTGAAAATGGAGAGAAACAGCTCAGAAAAGGGTAAAAACCAAATCTTTTTTTTCTTCCAAGAAACTTGCTAAAGAATATAAAATGGAGAATTTTAAGACTGCCCTTTATCTGATTTGAGGTAAAGAGAGGATGAAATAGACAAGAATTAAGACAGCATACAGAGAATAACAGAAGAGAAGGAATAAAAATCAAGAAATTGCAGGTGACCTACCTCAGAACAGTATATGAGATTTGATATGTGGTGCAGAAGAAGATGTGGCCAAACAAATATGACCAAAACAAGTGATTTGATTAGTTACTTGTCAACACTATGCATAGATGTGGGAAAAACAGAAGAAAAAATGAAAGGCAAAGATGACAATACTTCTCAGAATATGAAGGCAGAGCAGTTTATGACATAAAGTGACTTTTTCAAACATTGCCACATATGTCTTTGTCACTGCGTCCTTTTTGTGTATTTTGTGGATACAATTATCTTATTCCCTGGACAACATTGTCCCTCGTGGATTAATTGAAACACTACATAATACTACCTCCATCTACGTCTACGGCTCAATTGATGTAATATAGTTTGATTTAACGTAAAGTTTAATAAAGAAAAAATGATTTTTGAAATTTATAATTTAAAATAAGTTATAAATATTTGTGTGACTATTTAATAAATAAATATTATAAAGAAAGTGAATCGTAATAATTGAGACCGGAGAGTAGTTTCATTGTGAAGTCAATTTGTTTGGTTTGTTAGGAACTAATTAGTGTTTCTACTACTTTCATTTTAGTAGTATATTTGAAGGTGCATTCATCACGCAACCTTGTAACAAAAACTAGTTTTTCTAAATTAAAATTAATTAACAAATGGGTAGTTAAAATGATACTAAATCATTGCAATTAATGATTAAGAAATCTCCCGTTCATATTACTTTTTTTTCCATCTTCAAGTTTGACAAATATAAGTCAAGCCCCACAAAGAAAACATGGCATAATAGTTTGGTCCACTACTTTTCGTATAGCTGTATACATATTATTTTTAGCCAAGTTACATATTTGGTGAGCCAGTTAAAAATAATTACATTCCCTAGTCAAATATATATTATTTTGTATCAAAAATATATATTAATTGGTTATTATTTTGGTAGCCGGCTATTTATGTCCATTTGTCACTATAGAAAGTATATATTATTTTCTTCTATATTGCCTCATTGTCAAGCAAGTTTTATACTCTTCCTTGTAGGTCTACTTGCCATATTATTAAACTTTGGCCTTAATTATGTATTTTTGTAGCACTTTCTCAATGATGGTCCCGTGATAGAGGGGAAGAAAAATAAGGAAAAAACTGTTCAGATAAATAATAATAATAATAATAAAGATTTCTTCAACTTTTGTTTTAACCATTTGAAACTTTACTGACCCGACTTATTTAGATTCGCGTTTAACCTGAATTGATTTTTGATATATAATGGACAAGGAAGCGCATGGGATATTTGTTAAGCAACAGAATCATTGAAGATGTTGATTGTGGGGCAATTGCTACTTAATCTATGTGACAGATTAAAAGTTGTTGGAAAACTTTGTCTGCTTTTCATGTTTGTTCTACTTGCCCAATAGAAAATATGGTGATGTTTCTTGGACAAGATTGATGATAGTTCAATAACCATTTTAAGGTATAATTAAGTACGCATTTGGTCATAGATATTGAGGTTCAAATTTGAAATTTTGAATCGAAATCAAATTTTTTTAATGAAAATGTGTACAAAACTTCAACTTAAATTTGAAATTGCTAATTTTCAAAGGTAAATGAATAGGATTTTAAATTCCAAGTTATGAATTCAGTTTTTTTTTTTTTTTAAATAAATATAAAACTTGATGTCAAGTTTTATTTTTTTATTGACAAGACTTGTCATGTTAAATTTTGTAAGGAAAAATAAAAAGTAATGCTTGAAGTAAAGAGATCGTTTGTACCACTTGAAAAGATTATATAAAAGAATAGTTAGTTACTACATTATGTGTATTTGTAAAAGAAATATGTAGTCTGTAGATATGTGACGCCTTAGGATATATACCTTGTTTATGAACTGTGATTTGCTCATTTGATAAGATTGTATAAGAGTTGGAAAAAATTTTGGTAGTTTTTCATAATTATGGGGAAGTCCATACAAAATTTCAACTTCAAATCAGGATTTCAAATTACAATTTAAAATCATCTCCAAATGACCCTAAGTCTTACTGGAAATTTTCAAAGGTCATTAGGTTATCTAGAACTAGAAGAAACAGTTCACAAAATAATGACTTATGAGCTGAGTAGTTGTGGAAATATTTGCTCTCAATCTAGCCAGATTCCATGTCTAGTGAGTGATTCACATTTCACACATATCTGATTTGTAATTCTACAGGACAACTGTTAAACTTAATGCAAATAACTAGTGTTAAAATATACTTATTAGTGATGTGCTATAGAAAGCCAAAAAAAATTCAAGTTTTGAAAAGGATGTAGACTCCATGATTTGAGCTTCTCCTATAACTTTGATAAAATCTTAATTGAAAAAGTATTTTTGTTCTTAACAATTTACCTTATCATGTACCAGATCAATCGAATCGTCTCATGTCATCCTGAATAAACACAAGAAAGCAAAAGAATATTTGTTCTTAACAATTTACCAGAGTGATTTGTGAAGCTCTGTAGCCAAATCAAATGATAGAGCATTTCTCCAAACAAAAAAAAGTATAAATAGGAAATTTTGCATCCAGGCTTTTGGATTGGAGCCCTGTGTTTGATTTGTTAGCTGAACGCAGACACGGATTTCTCTTCATCTTCCTTAATAGAATTGATGATGAACGCAACTTCCTTCATGTTAGGCCTTGCATCTGGTGATGTATTTATGCATTTGAGAGCTACATGCAACAGATTGATCATTCTTTCTTCATTTGTACCATCTGTAATAAGGGACTTGTCGAAAACTTCACCAGTCCATTCCGCTCTAACTACTGAATTTACCCACCTAGACAAATCATATCCACTAGCCTGAACAGGCTTCCCTGTGAGCAATTCAAGAAGAATCACTCCAAAACTATAAACATCCATCTTGAAGGTGTTACGTGTAGTAATTGCAACTGAATCATCTTCTCTGATGCTATGATCACTTTGAGCAACAAATGACTGGTCTTGATTGTTGGGCATTAGACCATACTCGCTGATACAGGCTTCCATGTCATCGTTCAGCATAATGTTGGTGGATTTCATGTTTCCATGAGGAATATTGTCATTCTGAAGGCCTTCATGCATGAATGCTAAGGCCTCTGCGACACTGGCTGCAATAGCTAATCTGCTCGCCCACTCGAAAACTTTACTGCCCTGAGATGCTGAAATGAACAGTTATGCAGTAACTTTACCTTTCCATGTTCATTCTCAAAGAATAATAGACAAACTAGTTACTACTTGATTATTTTTAAGAGTTTAAGGTCTATTCACTGACTGCGTAAAAGATACTTATACGATTAGATCACTTGTATGGTAACTAATTATAGGTAATTGACTTGCTATTATAGGTTAGCTTTGTATTGCCAATGTAAATACCTAAAATCCTATAAGCTGATATGTTGACATTATCTTTTGAACTAGGTTCAGAATCAGAAGTTAGATTCCAATGAAAACATGACTATATCTTGCTGCCCAAACTAATAATACTAATTAGTAAAGTTTCTTTCTTACTTAATCAACCGACAACAATGTTGCTCGGACTTTTCAAAAATGTCATACAGGTGTGTGTCGGATCCTCCAAAAGTAATGCATTATTGGAGGATCTGACACAGGTGTGGCAACATTTTGGAGTCAAAGCAACGTAGACCGACAAAATACTTAAAAAGATTTTGACTTAGCTAGACCCTGGATCTGGAAATTGAACTATAGTTCTATCTAACATATTCCTTTACTGATATCAATTCTTGATAGTTCTTACAGGAAGGCCTATTACTCATGTATCATTCTATGGCTTGAAATTCAAGTGAGAATAATTAAGTTTGCACTAATAAAACTTACTATGGAGATGCTTGAATAGACTGCCATTCTGTTGGTACTTGTAAACTGTTAGCTTCTCTTGTTTGGAACTATAGAAGGCAACAAGGGGCAACACATGAGGATGCTTCATTCTATGTATTCTCTGCATCCTCTTCTTGAAATCGTATTTCGAAATATTCCAACCACTGATCCTCTTTACTACCAATGTCACTCCATCAACATTGACCTTGAAAACACTTCCATGTTTTCCTTTCTCAATCAATTCAGCTGGAGCTCGAAGCAAGTCCTCGAATCTCAATTTATTAGCCAGAGGACTTGAAAGGATTTCAAATGATGCTGAGAGCATAGAGTTTTCGGGACTAGATGTTATTGAATATTCTGACCTATTTTTAGGAGTCTTTGTAACACCAGAAGAGCTAATAGTCTTGTTGTGATCCATTGGAGTACTATTGCTCTTTTTCTTCCTTATGCACTTAAAAAGCTTCCATACAAGTAGAAGTATGATAATCAGCCCAAGAATAGCATAGCCAAGATAAATAAAGTATGAAACTTTTTTCTCCTTATCAACTGGATGGGGAGGTGGCGGTGGCGAGGGTGGACATATGCTTGGCAATGGCACTCCACATAATCCAGGATTACCCAAAAAACTGCTGGAACTAAACTGGTCCTTGACATCAGGTATTGGACCAGTTAAATTATTGTATGAGACATTGAATTCTACAAGATTGGAAAAATCAAATTCTGGTATCTGCCCTGTTAGCTGATTTCTTTCAGCCAAAAAAGTTATCAGCCCTGAGATTCTTGACATATCCGGTATCTGCCCCGAGAAGGCATTGTCTGAAATTACAAACCTTTTCAAATTGCTCAACCGCGAAAGAGAGCTTGGTAAGTTGCTTGATAATTTGTTGCCACGCAGATAAAAATGTGTGAGACGTCTGCAGTTTGATATTTCTTGAGGTAATGTTCCAACAATTTCGTTTTCGTTCAAGCTCAGTACAGCAAGGGAAGTAGCCTCACAGACAAAAGAAGCATCAAGAATTCCAGTGAGATTCTTCTGATCAAGAACAATATTTTTTACATGTTGGTTTCTTGAATCACAAGTTATCCCTTCCCATTTGTTGGTACATGGATCAGATGATAAATCCCATCCAAAGTTTACTTCTTTTGAAATGTTACCAAGTGATATCTTGTTCATAAACTTAACTAATGCTCGTCTCACTTCCAGAGTTTCTGAACCTGCAAGTACTAGCAACATCTGAAAGATAATACTCATGATTACCCATCTTGTACTCGGAATCATTGCTCGTGTGAAGAAGTTAAAATCTCTACTTCTTCACCGCGTAAATTCATAAAATGATTGGGTAATTATCTATCTGCAACAAGCAGAATGCTAACAAAGTAGTACTATGATTTATGAAATAAGATATAGCTAAAGCTAAAACGGCCAATTGGCACATTATGCTAAGACAAGGTCGATGTAGTGCAGAACAAAAAAACAGATGATGTAACAAAAATGGTGACTGAAGGAGAAAAAGGCATTAAAATATTGAAGAGCTAGGCCGGCAAAACTGTCAAAGATTTGCATGATTTCTCCTTCTAAGTTAGTTTCTATTTGGATATACTGCTACAGATATATTAAGAATGTTCCAAATGGTCCTTTTTTATACATCACTCTAAATTCCAAAACTACATTATTCTATGACCTTCAGAGGAACAATGTGTATAAAATTCTAATCTAGATACTACTGTTTCAAACTTTGTCGAAATTCGCTATATGTAAGGTGAAAATTTCTTGTTTGATCCTCGTACTTCAAATCTAGCCAAACAAATTGAAAGGAAGTAGCATTTTAAAGTATTCAATTACACCTAATAGAAGTGTGAGTCCATATTGGTTTTAGTTGATAATCTCACATTCTGAAACAGGCTATATTCCAGTATATATAAGAAAAACAGAGAAGTTTTGAAGCATAACATTCAAAACAACCATTGTATATGAAGAAGAAAAGAACAAATTGGTATTCAGCAAAAGCTAGTTTTGAATTACAATTGAACATAAAAGTGATTAATGCATGTCCTAAAACTACAAAAAAGAATGATTTGGGTTCAGCAATACTTAGCCCCTATAGAAGTTACATCTGCCTATTCCAAAAATCCAAAAAACCATAAAAGGTTCAATCAAGATGAGAAATTAAAGAATTACAAAATTGGCTTCATGATGATGTGTTTATGGAGAGAACAAGAGCTTGCAAGGCATGAATTTGCAGCCTTAGATGCATTATGTATTTAGCAGTTTGGAGGAGCAATTGATGAGAAGGCAATTGGCTAGCTCCTGGGATTAGCCTCTGCAGCTTCATCATTTTGTCTTGTTGGTGTTGAAGATTAATATTATTATTATCATTGAAAACATGATAATAGCCCATTCTTGATCTCCTCTTCTTCCCCCTTGTTCTCTTTGTTGTTTTCATGACTACATTACCACCTAGCCTTTTTTTTGATCCCATCTTGATTTTGAGCAATTGCTTTTAATTGGTTCATGCAAACTCAATGAAACAGCTATATAGACATAAAAAGTGCTATAGTATTAATGCAGCTGGCACAACATGTGTCAATTCATTGTTCATGTAATAAACTCTTGCATGTGATGGCTTTGGTGTGACACTTAAGTCGACTCATGTCATATGCCTGGCCTATACTTTAACAGCAACATCTTTTCATTTCTTTTCTCCTCTAAATAAATAAATCTTTCTTTTATATCATCAAACAAGTTAGGTGATCTATAACATAAAACTCCACCAACAATGTGGTGTAATGGATTAGGTCGTTCCTCTTTACTCAGAAATATCAGGTTCGAGCTTTGGCAATGAAAAACTCTAACGTTAGTCAAGCTCCAACCAAAAATAATCATGATAATTACAACAAACATGATATTTGGTAATTAGTCACCATTCAAATTACATTTTGTTTACATCATCAGTATTCTATGTTGAAGTGGATAATGAATAGATAGGAAAATGTGTGATGAGTGATGTCATGTGAGTAGTAATTAAAAGATCAAGTGGCATTTGTGCGCTATGGCACATGCCTTGACAGCTCTCTCAAATCTCATGCCCACCACCACAATTCATTTTCACCATCCATAAACTACAACACTCAACAAAATACTCACAAAGGGTTATATGAGGAAGGAACACATGAACAGTAACAACAATTGGGCTGAACTTGGTACATTAGGCCCAAAAGATCAAGTATTTCATCATAAAATGGCGTGTTTTGACCTTCAAATGAATTAATTTTTAATTTTTGTTTCTTACCGATTAAACTTGTATATAGTAGAACATAATTTTTTTAAGAAAATCAAGTTATATTCAGATATAACTTGTGAATATTACATTACAATAAATAGAAATATAAACTTATGCCTAAAAGAAATTAATGTTACGAAAGACATAAATTAAAAAACAGCACAAATAGGCTAAAAGTGCAAATGACCCGTATTTGATCGTGTGCCATCTAACAAAGACTATGCATTGGGCCCTGTCGTCTTCCTTTCTTTGGTGTTTGGTATTAGCTTTGTAATTTGATTAATTTAGATTGTGTTTCACTTTGAGGATAAAATGTTTTGTATTAAAGATGACTTTATTGATTCTAAGATTTGAATTCGAGACGTCAAATTAAAGATGAAGGACAAGACGAGTATTTATCAATTATCTCTCCATCACAAATTTTAATAGTAAATACAGTATACACAATGGTTTAATTATATACACTACTATTTTATTTGTAAACTAACACACACACTCGCATATATTTGTATTGAAAACAAAAAAAATCGAAGAGAGTTTAATTGACACCACTTCATTAGGAAAATTGCATGTAGAGTTTTTTTTAACGAATATATATTTTGACTTCTTAGTAGTATACTTTTTATACTTAGAATTTTCTTATAAAAATTCTTGCTCCTCCATTGCATGACACCAAAAGAAGGAACAAAAATAGTTTGTGATTGTCAATCTCTTCAATTTCCCTAACAAAATTGTCTACTCTTTCTGTCCCAATTTATGTTGCACTTTTCATTTTTTCGGGAGTCGGAAAGTTTAAGTTTGACCGGGAATTTGCTCATGAAATCTTTAATTTTTTTGAAATGAAATTTATATATTTATAAACTACCTAAAAAGTATGGTAAATCACCATAATTGACAATTCAAAATATTTAAAAGATAGATGAAAAATTTACAATGAAAAATAGACTTGTTTGAATCTCGAAATCCGAAAAATGTCACATAAATATAAATTGAGACGAAGAGAGTACTAATTTAAGCTAATCCATGGAAGGTTTGTCTTTACAATATAGTAATGATAAACTGGTAATTAGTTGATCTAGAAGCTAAGCATAATAAGGACCATTATTTAATTTACGAGTTCCATTTATTGAATATGGCCTAACTTTAGTTTCAATTTCGTCTACCGAAAGAGTCTTATTGCACAAAGTTAATTAACATCACTTTTAGCACTTTTTAAATATTTTGGGCATCATTAATGAAGCCTACTTTTATCATTTTGCTTAATCTTTACTTATGGCACCTCTCACCAACTTAAAAGTGCTCAATAATTTACCTTTGCCTAGACATCACCTTTTTCTTAACCAATAACTAATGCAATACTTAGTTGGCGTGATTAGGAAAAATTAGCCTCAAATCACTAGAAATGGCCACTTACTCTTAAAACAACAATCATTTAGTTTGCGTTAATTCTTTGGTAGCTCTAATTTGTTCCCTCGCCTTCCTTAAAAAGAGAGTATTGAATTTTACTTCACTAATTTTTAATTTAATAAGTTGGTCAAATTTAGGATAATTTGAATTTTAAATTTCTATTAGATAGATACATCAGTTTGTTGAGATATTTTAGTTTGTTTTGAATTCAAATTATGCAGATTTTTATTTTAACTAGGCTATTTAAAGTTTTATTTTATGCTTGATAAAATTATCGAAAGATAAAACAAGAATATGATATTTTTAGTATGAAATAACAAGAAAAATAGTAATAAAAGAAAATAATCCTTACATAATATTTTGTGTATCAACATTCATCGCATAACAATTTATACGTTATTTTTCATGGCATACAAATTTCTTAATTATTATCTTTTGTTGAATAAATGAACTCCACATTATAATCCTACATAACTATACCCTAGTGTGTGGACCAAATGACCCCTTAATAAGAAGAACATCCAATTTAACCCAAAACATAACACAAGAAATAGTTCAATTAAACCAGCCATCACATTTCACTAATCTACCATTCATCTCGTCTTAATACAAACTTACAATAATAATAATAAACTTAATAACTAAGGAATTTTTTTTATGCAAAATTATTTCTTATTTATATCAACAATTAATCTTTCTAGGGTTGTTTGGATAGAAAAAAGATCGTGTATAAGTAAGTGACAAAAATATACCAAGATTTTATGTGGGAAAGTGGTCCTAAATATACCAGTTATTTTAGGATTGGTTATTCTCGAATAACTTATCCCACCATGTATATGAGATAACTTATTTATCACTATGGTATAAATGGTGAATAAGTTATCCCAAACATGACAATCAAACAAGACACAAATTTTTTATTCCATCACTGTTTTCTTATTCTATGACTATTTATTTTTATCTCTCACACCAAACGACCCCTAAATAAGTGATAGTGGTCCCACAAGAATACTCATTCACTAGAAACTTGTGACACTTGACCGCAATATACATGTGCACTTCTTTGTTTTTGTGCAAGTATGTACCAAGCATTTTGTGTTTTCAGTGACCGATAAAATTAGCTGATAAAAATATAATTTATTTAATTTATCTAAATTTGAATTGATTACTAATTTGCTTATTTATATGCTCAATGCATTTCAAACCAATGCATAGTTTTATAGGTATGAATAATTATAAAAGAATAAATAAAGAAATTAAAATTTAGTAAGATTTGTGCGGATTGAGTTATAACATACATTTCATTTAATTTAAGTTTAAGTAACTTTTGAGCAAATTGATAACCGATTTATTTATTAAGTCAACTCATTTTGACCCAATCAAATTCAATTCAATCCGTTTATTTGACACCTTTATTTTTAAATTACTGATTTTTCATTCACATGTTCTTTGTTTTTTGCCTCTCTCTTATATCCCTTTCTTGCTTTTCATCTTTCTTTTTCCTTTTTGGTTTTCCTTCAAACACAAGGATATAGTGGGACTTTTGTACGTCTTTTTGCTAATT